GCCAAAAGAGTTCGCCCCCAGGAGAAGTTGGGGTTTTAACTTGGGGGGCAGAAAAAATGGTGAGGCTTCAGAAAAGAGCCATAAAATGGATCTGAGAGCTGGTCAAAAGGCCTTGGTTTGAGAATTGGACAGAAGGTTGTTTGGAGGCATTTAACAGGTAAGAAGAGAGCATGGAGATGTTTATTCAAAATTCAAAACGTGACTACAATTTCTGAAAGCATCCTATCTATCTGTTTTTAAACTAACTGATGTGGGCACTACAGAAGCACAGCATGCCAGACGGTTTGTGAAGCCTAAGAAGTAAAGCATTGGCTAAATACATAGCCTGAGTTTCAGGCTGTACCCTGCTAGTTTTTTTCAGTCTATGTAGTTTAAAATATGTTCTCACGGGCTGTGGTGGTACCTCTGACCACAGTGCATATACACCCTGCAACAGTCAGCAGAAATATAGCAGGCACTAAAAACCTTTTTTCTCTAGCTGAGAAGCTTCAGCAGCAGGTTAGGTAAATTCACATTAGGGTATCATATAAATACATAACAGCAAGAACGATAACACTGGCTTTTATAGTTAACCAAAGTTTGTCTTTGGATCAAGCCCGCATGACTTTTTGTAAGAGGTGCCCCAAATGTTGTTGATTATTTGGTTTGGGTTAAAGCTCTGTAGAAGGTCAGGCAAGAAAATGGACCCTACATGCCATATGCTCAAGACCATTTTTTATGGAGCATCTTTGATATGGAGAGGCTGAGACAGCTGAAGCTCTTCAACTTGGAAAAGAGAAGGCTCAGAGGGGATCTTATTGGTGTATATAAATACCTGATGAAAGGGAATGAAGAAAAGGGAGCCAGACTCTTCTCAGTAGTGCTCATTGACAGGACAAGAGCCAATGTGCAAAAATTACAGGACAAGGAATTCCGTCTAAACACAAGAAAACACCTTTTTTTTTTTTTTTTTTTTTTTTTTACTGTGAGGGTGGTTAAACAGCATGATAGGTTCCCCAGAGAGGTTGTGGAGTCTCCATCTGTGGAGATATTAAAAACCTGACTGGACACTTTCCTAGATAACCTGCTTCAACTGCCACTCTTGAGCAGGGGAATTGGATTAGATGATCTCAAGAGGTCTCTTCCAGCCTCCATACCTCTGTGATTCTGTCATCGTAGTACCATCTCTGTTATGCAGAGATTACACTGTCTTTGGCTCTTGCCATGTATGAAGTCTTTTTCTGGACCAAATATATTAATCATTTTGGTTGGAGAACCAGAATAACATTACTAGACTAAGACACCGTATCTCCATAGGCTAGCTCCTCCTCAGCTCCTGAGGAAGCTGGGAAGCATCTCCAGATGGTGGCAAGGATGTGAATTTCTTGCTGCTGTAATTAGAGACTTTTGGGGGGAGTTAGGGTTTCTCACACGCTGACAGCCTAGAAGCAGGACCTCTAGCAGATGAAGCACAGGATGGGCAGTGGAGGAAAGAACAGGTTTGGAAAGGACCCTGCCTGCTGCCTTCAATAGCACACAGCCAAATGGCGAGTGAATCCTGGCCAGGGCCCTGGTGGCCTCCTCCCCAGTGCTTGTCACTCCGCAAAGGGCAAGTGGCACTCCAGAAGGTAACAGAGGTAAGTGCAGAGCACCCAGGCTCGGTGGTGACCCAAATTTGGCCCTCATTTAGCTTACTAGCTAACGGCAGTGGAATCTCAGAGAAAGCCCTGACAGCTCCGGCTATTTCCTGAAGTACGGACCATGTCCTGTAATCAGTTTCCTCAAGGGCTGCAGGAGCCAAAGCCTGCAAACGGTTCTGGAGTGACCGTCCCTGGGGCTGCCTTCAAATGGAGCCCTGATCAGACCCTGTCACTGTCCCTCAGGGCACTCGACCTATATCTTCTGGCTGGTCTATTTTTCCAAGCTGGCTATTTCACTTTGATGCTCTACTCTGTACCCAGACAATCGGCCCTCCCTTGCCGGTGGGGCCACACATGGACGTAAGGATCCTTGCCACCTATATCACAGTTCACTTGAAATGTGGAGTGGAAGGACACAGAGTTTTTTGGATTTTTTTTTATTGCAAAAGCTTCTGGACCAGAATGTTTTGACTCCCAAAGCTGGAGTGAGAACCGAGACCATAGAGCGAAGCATGTCCTCCCATTCACAAAAGCAAGTTTTCACACAGCAATAAGAGAGAAGTAATGAATCATATAAAAAATAGAATAGAAGAGTCATATAATAAACAATTCAATACAAATAAAACCGCATCAGTGAATAGATATTTGAAAATTATATCATTATTGAAGAATACATTAAGTGGATGCAGTGGGAAGATTCTAACCTTTGGGTTAGATAGCGCTAACAGGTGGCCAGCCTACAAGGGAAGAAATTTTATCTAACTCAGGTTTGAGAAATTCAGTTATCTGAGAAGATCATGAACCATTTGCTGACAAGAACTTGTATATGACCATGAATTTGAAACACTGTCCTACAGAAGAGATTTTTTGATATTTTTTCACAAACATAAATCTAATGTGCTCTGCACAAGACAAGGAGACATCTCTCCTGTTGTTCCACTCCCTGTTTAGTGTGGCTTTAGCCTATCTAATATCAAGGGGAGGTCTATGTCTTTCAAAGATCTATTACATTTTAAGTTTTTTCTCTATATTCCTAACTAGGAGTCTTTAAAAGGTTTTTTTCAGCTATTTGTTTTAACACCTAAATGTGACAACACCAGTATGGAAATGTCAGTGGCAGAGTGGGTTTGTCTGTGGGTTCTGCGATGCCCTCACTGCGTGGAATTTCACAAGCTGTGCCAGCTGGGCAGCAAACAGGAGGACATCAAAGCAAAATCTCTAAAATACTTTCCAGGCCGTCCTTCCTCGTGAGTTTGTCCCCAGCTTTCCATTCATCCCCTCCCATGCATGCACTTGTTCATTGTTGAACTCCCCACGGACTGTACTAACTTTGGCTGCTGTTGGCTGTCACACCAAGCCAAAGCCTTTGCAGAAATGTAGGGCCAATTACTTGGCACTTCTGAATTGGATGAGATTAAGCAACGCAGTCTAGGAGAGAAGGGAAGGGAAAAGAAGGGGGGCTCTCCCAGAAGTAGTCCCAGTCTCCTGTACAAATCCAGCCTTTTTGTAGTTTTCCTAGGTTTAAATAATTCTGTTGCTACATTACTGGATTCTTAAGAATGACCGGATTTAGCAGCAGTGAGGGCTGGAAGTTGAAGGAGCTGTAATAAGCTCTGGTCACAGATAGAGCAGTGTAAAAACTAAGGGAAAAGGCTTCATTCTTTCTGCTCCCACTCATATTCCCAGGATGCCATCTTCCTTTTTAGCAATGTGAGGTCCTATTCCCTCCCCCAGAAGGCATCTTGTGAGTCAGAATGTTTCATGGGAAGAGATCCTGAGCTTGTAGGTGCAGAGCTGAGCCACTGGTTTTACACTGGAGCTCTGTCTCACTGCACACTCTTTAAGACACATCCAAGAATGCTGCAACCCGTAGGCTCTTGGGCTGCATCCTGGGCTGCATTAGGCAAAGTGTTACCAGCAGACGGAGGGAGGTGATCCTTCCTCTCTATTCAGCACCAGTGAGGTCACATCTGGAGTAGTGGGTCCAGTTCTGGGCTCCTCAGCAGAAGAGAGATGTGGACATACTGGAACAAATCCAGTTTGTGAAGTTGATTAAGTTATCGGAGCATCTCTTGTACAAGGAGAGGCTAAAAGAGCTGCGACTTGTTTAGCCTCGAGAGGAGAACGCTTGAGGGGACCATCTTATTGATGTGTATAAATACCTGTAAAAAAGGCACAGCCAGAGTCTTCTGAGTGATAGTGAGTGACAGGACAAGAGGCAGTGGGCCTGAAATGCAGAATTTCTGTTTAAGCATAAGAAAAAAATTTTTTACCATAAAGGTGACCAAACACTGGAACAAGCTGCCCAGATTAGTTGTGGAGTCTCCATCCTTGGAGGTATTTAAAACCGGACTGGACACAGTCCTGAGCAACCTGCTCTAGTTAACCTTCCTCTGAGCAGAAGGTTGCACTAGGTGATCTCCAGAGGTACCTTCTCACCTCGACCATCCTGTGACTCTGGTTCCGTGACCTTGCTCCAAAGCCAGGAGGGGGTCCTGGGCCTGGGGTGCCTGTGTTCAGAGCACAGGGAGGTAGTCAGGGGGAAAGTGCTGCCACAGGTGCCTTAAAATGCTGCCTTGTAGCTGGCTGGGAAGGACTGAAAAAGCATTTCTCTGAAATGGGTCTGAAGCAGCTGGCTGTAGCTCAAAATGCCGTTGATGTCCAGGCTTCCTTCCTGCCTAAGTTTCTTGGCTGCACAGATGAGTGACTTTGGGTCAGAAATATCAGCAGGCGTGTGAGGTACTGAGCTCCCTTTGGCTTGCTCAGAGCACACTGCCTCTGAGTAGTAATCCTTTTTTTTTGTCATGGGCTAGCTGTGCCTCTGCTTAAGGGGCAAGTCTGTCTCTGCTGCTACCTCAAGGACTTTCTTTGATAAGCAGTAGGGGTGGTTTTCTGAGTAGAGAGACATGGTCTTGCTGCAGTAGGCTGAAGAGAGCAAGAGGACTGGGTGACACTTGATAATCTGGGACTCTGTTACTATTTTCCTTGTTGCCTAACACCTTGGAGACTAGAATAAGAGGAAGCCTGGAAGGCCAAGCTTTAGTACAGCTAACACAGAAAGGTGACCCAAGTCTTTGAAAGGAGAGGCCCCAGGGAGTACAATTAGCAAGTCAAGCATCTGTCTAGAGGCCAGAAAGGATTAGAGGGCTGAAGGAGGTTCCCTTCAATACAGGGACCTTTTATATGATGAGGGGCTTTGCCCAGAGGTGTAGTGTATAAAAGCACAAGCTCAACTCTAGCACAGCTGCGAGAGTGCTCAGGCTCCAGGTGGCAGAAACATCCCCTGCCATGGCATGGTTTGTGCGGTGCGTCCGATCTGGCTTTCTCTGTGCATGTTGTGATGTTCCTGACTTGGGCTGTGGTGTTTCTGCAGCACTCAACAATGGCCGAGAGCTCAGCTGCGGCTGTGGCAGCGGCGGGGACAGCGGCACCCACTGTGCTAGATGAGCTCCTGGAGATCACAGCTCAGAGCCTGGTGCGCACCGAGGTGGCCGAGCACTATGAGGTTATTCGGGAGCTGGGCAGGGGCAAGTATGGCCACGTGATGCTCGTGACCCACAGGCAGAGAGGTAAGGAACCGACTGTGCCCTATGAGCTACTGTGCCTTCCTCCACTCGCCAGGGCGGTGGGTGGGCTGGTGGCTCCTTGGGACCCGGCATGGTGGGAGGTCCCCAGGGAGAGAGGCAGGACAGGGACCTCCCCTGCTGGGGACCATCCCATTGCACCCAGCCAGGGAGCAGGTGATGCCAGGAGGCAGCCCAGAACATCAGGCAAGGTTATTGTGATGAGACAGGCTGGGAAGTCAATCCACAAGTCAGGTTCATGGCTAGCCACCGGCACGGACGTGATCTAACTGGAAACCAGCACTCCCACCACACAGCTCAGGCAGGGAGTGAAGCCCCAAGGCCGAGCTTAAATGGTGCCCTAAGCCCCGTGGACAGAGGGTGTGAGTGGAGGTCCTATGTGGGGTTGGCCAAGGCCATCAAGGTCTATGACACTACTCTTCCCCAGTAGTCCCAGCTCAGACTGACAGGCCCACGTAGCCAGAGACCTCCCTGTGGCTGTGAGTGTCCAGACCCATGGCTGCTCAGTGCCCTCTCCCTCTGGCCTTGGTATGAGTGACTTTCAGGAGAGTCTAACCCACTCTCCCCATCCCCAGGGACTCCTATGGCTCTCAAGCTGCTACCCAAAGCCAGTACCAAGCTGCACACCTTCCTGTATGAGTATTGCGTGGCGCTCTCCCTCGCCACCCACCCTGCCATCATCGGCATGTTTGGCATTGCCATCGAGTCCAGCCAGTACTATGGCTTCCTCTACGAACCAGCACTGCACAAAGACCTCATCTCCATCATCAAACCCCGGGTGAGTGCTGCTACAAGGCCATGGGGGCTGGGACCATAACGTTCGGGACCCAACCAAAGGCTGGTTGGGTGGGAGGGAGGGAGATAAAGGCAACGGGCTGTGGGTCTCTCTGGGGTCTACAACATTGAAGCAGCTTCAGGCTTGCAAGACCAGAAGTGCAAAGGTCTTCCCCGGTGCAGAGGGACCAGCCGGCAGGGCTGCCATCCATCGCCGTACCATCCGTCCCTCTCTCCCCGCGCAGGATGGGATCCCCGAGCCGGCCGCGAAGCAGTGTGCCAAGCAGCTGGTGAGCGCGCTGGAGTTCATCCACAGCCGTGGCCTCGTGTACCGTGACGTCAAGCCAGAGAACGTGCTGCTTTTCGATCCCGAGTGCCGGCGCATCAAGCTGACTGACTTCGGGCTTACGCGGCCCAAGGGTACCAAGCTCAAGCTGGTGGCCGGGGTGATCCCCTACACCGCGCCCGAGCTCAGCAACACCGCCGATGCTCAGGGGGTGCCCATCGACACCAGCCTGGACGCCTGGGCCTTCGGCGTGCTGCTTTTCTGCCTGCTGACCGGCTACTTCCCCTGGGAGCAGAGCCTGCCGGACGACCCTTTCTTTGAGGACTTCATGCTGTGGCAGGAGACGGGCCTGGACGAGGACCTGCCCCGCCACTGGAAACGCCTGACGGCCGAGGCGGCCCTGATGCTGCGGAGCCTGCTGGCCCTCGACCCGGCCGAGCGCGGCCCCGTCGGCGGAGCCCTGCGCTACGTCGACCGCCCTTGGCGGCTGGAGGACGGGGCCGGCGAGGGGGCTGCGGCCGAGCCCTAGGGCCCGCTCCCCGCGGCGGGAGGGGAGGCCGGCGGCTCTCAGCCGGCGAGGGGCTTCATGGCGGTCCGGGTGTGAGAGGCCGCGGCCGCCTGGAGAGCAGCTTCTCGGCTGCCGACAGAGCCAGGCTCCTTCCCCAGTTGATGGCCCTCGCCCCGTGGCTCAGCGCTGCCCGGTGCCACCTCCTTGTGCTTCCCTGGGGCTTGGAAACATCTCCCTTCTCTTGGAAATGACTGTCTGCCTGGGAAGCTTCCCAGGCCACGGGGACCCCAGGGTGCTTTCTAGCGGCTGCGGCACCTGCCTTGTCTTGAAATAGAGCGAAATATGTCCTTTTGTGTTTCTGTATGTGGCTCTTTTTAACAAAACACCCTGGGGGGGCCTGCTTGCTGTGGGAGAGCAGGGACATGACAGAGGCTGCGGCCGTCTCAGGACAACCGGTGCAAGGCACGGGCCACCCCTGGGTGCTGCCTGGACCTCCACCAGCACCCTCAAAGGGTGGCTTCAGGCTGGTGGGGTAGAGGTGCTGGGGACCCCCCCAGCGTGTGGCCGTGGGTGGTAGCTGGGGACTGACGATGGCGGTGGGAGCCACGGAGGTGGGGCATTTGGGAAAGCCACCGGGAATCATACGTTGTAACCTGCCCACTGCCATGCGTTTCTTCACGTTTCCTCATGTTGGGTACCAGGGGACAGACGGGCTCTTCTGCGTGGAGGGTCGTTAGCAGCAGGAGTCTCGGTGTCAGTTTGCACAAGTGTCCCCCTCTAGTTCCCATCACTTAGGAAAACACCCTTCTGCAAACACCAGCAACCCTGCTGAAGCACAATTCCCCCCTCTCCCTCCTCGAGTGGCTTAGGTGCAATTGGAAAGGCGAGCTCACTGCCACGAACGCCCACATGTAGGATTCAGCTGAGAAGACAGTAGCACTATGAGGGTAATCAGCCTGGGCATCACCAGGAAAGGCCAACAGAGGAGCTGTAACCACAGGTTGCATAAATTTATCCATACAAATAACCCCAGCAAAACTCCCCTAGTGATTCCTCCCAGCAGTCCTATACCATTGCCTTGCTCTCACTCCTCATCCTCCTCCAGACTGACTGCTCCCTCCTCACAGAGCCAGCCCCTCTCTGCACGAGCCACCACTACGACTTCTTTCCTGCTCCTATTCTCCCGAATGAATCCTTCAGTCCCAAGGAACCATTTCCGAGACTATCCAGCGCCTGCCCAAGTGCACCTCCTCCCTCGTACTGCCTTCAGGTCCTAAGAGAACGTCCTTCACCCTCTTTCAGATGCCTGGTTACCCCTCTAGAAGACCTTCTGTCTCCCTTTTGCTGTCACCACGTTAACCCTTCTCCTGCAACACACTTCTCCTAATCCCTCAATGTCCTTCTAGGTGCACATTTTAATCCTGGAAAGAGGTAGCAGGGAGAGAATTAGGGGTTAGAAGCTCTTCTTACCACCTCTTTCCAGTCCCCAGGATTTTGCTGTTGGTAATCCCTTCCAGCTCTTAGCCTTATCCTATAGCTGGAAACATCCCCAGCCCAGTTTCCATTCTCAGTGGCTTCATAACTTCTAAAAATGCATGCTCCAGCACCACACTTTCTAGCATCCCAGCTTTTCTTTCACCTCAGATCCTTTCCTGCCCACACTCTTGGGTAGTTCCCTAACCCCCAGTTCTCTTTTTCCAGCTTCTTCTCACCCACTGGCATTTTACCATTCCTTATGTTCCCCACTAACATTTCCTTTCTACTACCCATCACCTGGTAAACACCTTTGGCTCATTCCTCTCTCAGCAACATCACCTCCATACTACTCTTTTGTACTTTTCCTGCTCCCCACATCGCTTATCCCTTGTGTCTTCCTTCCAACTCCCCAACCCACCTTATCAACCAGCATCCTGCTCACCCTGTTCAAAGGCACAGTTTTCTCCTGTCCGCTTCCATCTCTTAGAATCTTTCATTACCAAAAAATGTAATAAATGCTGCTCAACTCTGGCCCGCTGAGATTTGGCTTTAATTACTCTTTGATTACTGTAAGAATAGCAGAGGAGTGTTAAGGTACCAACACAGTTCCTGTATTTAAGGTGGAGAAGCCCTAAGACCAGTGGATCTATAGGCCAGGTAGCTGACAACTATCCAGTGAAAAATAACAGAAAATCTGATACAGATGCTTGCTAATAGAGAATTATAGAACAGGAATGTGGCTTTTTGGAATGTGAGACTCAGCATTCTATTTGATAATCGAGTTGTGTTTGATAAAGTAAATTCATAGCATCATGGTACATGATTTTTGTAAGGCATGACCTATTGATATAAAGAAAATTACAGTATGCTGTATTGATTAAGAAGATGTATTACGCAAAGTCAATAAAGCATACATTAAGTGTTTTGAGAAACTTCAATGGACAGAAGAAATAATTATCAGTTGGGAATGCTCTTTGTTTAGTTTGGTTGGTTTCTGCAGGGATCAATAATTGAGTGAAAACTGGTCAACGTTTCCATCTATGATGTGAAGGTAAATACAAAACCACTGCAGGTAAAACCCCGCAGATGACACAGACATGAATAAGGTGATAAACAGCAAGAGGAACAGGCCACTCAAAGAGATCTGGATAAATTGGTAAGTTGGGTGCATTCAAGCAAAATACATTTTCTTGCAGGCAGGAGAAATGTATACAGGTTGGAACACGTAGGAATAAAAGCCTTCCTTACAGAAAGATCCCTGAAAAAACTTTGTAAGTCATAGAGGATACACAAGATCGTGTGAGTTCTAATTGAGTTATTCTGTCAAAAAAGGCTAACGGACTCCTTGCACGGCTAAAGAGGGGCAGACACTCAAGGTGGTCAAATCTCCAGCAAAGGCAGCTGGCAAGATCCCTGCTGGCCTAAATAGGAGTGTGGGAAGTAGGAGTGAGTGATCGGTGTTTGAAGCCTCGCGGAGCAATCCTGGGGATGGTGCCGCATTTACAGGCAAGCTGGAAAGCCAGAGACAGCTCAGAAAAGAACCGTGGTGGGGCTGTGGCTTAAGGAGGTAAGAAAGTCTTCTTAAAGAAAGTAATGAGCTAAACTATCTAAACCAGGAAGACTGAACAGTGATTTCATTATGGTATAGAATACCAGGAAGAAAATACCTACTGCTAATGACCTATTTTAGTTTGAGAAAGGTCCAAGAGCGTCCATGAGAGGCTGGAGCCAAACATATTGAAGTAAGCCACATCGCAGTAGTGAGGGTTCTTGCCTACTGAAAGAAACCGTCATATGAGGAAAGGCTGAGAGAGCTGGGACTGTTCAGCCTGGAGAAGTAAAGGGTCAGGGTGGATCTTATACTTCT